ATAATTACCTATGACAATTGTTTCCATGCTGCAGGGCGATCCCTTGATATGAGAAGCGTACGAGATGTCGATGTCGAATAATCGAACGAAGGTGAATACAAATCATCTGAACCAACGACTTCCCTGAACACTTGGGTGCTTTCAGTATGAACTGAGGAGGGTTGTGAGGCTTCATCGTTTAAGGCATCAAATACAAACAGCCCCAATCCAGAGACAGCCATGACAAGATTAGAATTCCCCCAAACTTGAGTTACTGCTGTATGATGGGCGTGTGCATTGCTTTCTGGTAATGCATAAGTGCAGAAGAGGCCCTGTTTTCTAATAGAAAATTGATGTACCACTGAAGAGGGTTGCGGCTTCCTCCCTCCTGACCTGCCACTGGAGCAACCAACATACACAGAATCTCCTCGAGAGAAAACAGACTGTGCGCCAAGGCTGGGTTTAGGCAACTTTAGGCCTATTCCTGATGGGCTGCGGAAGTCCAGAATATTTACAGAATCTGTTGTGCAGAATACACCATCGTTTCCTTCTGCTTCTGCTGAACTTATTCTGCATATACCAAACCAAAACCTCTTAGAATCACTGCTCACTAAGAAATATAAATCAGAGAGAATATAAAAAGCTTTTTAGAAGGAAAGCAGGCTGATGGGTTAACCTATTTTAAGATCATATGAAAGCCGCTTATGGGCAGGTTTGCTGGTTATAACAAATTTGAGTATGGAAAAGGTTTAATTTTCAAGAAGTAATAGATTATGGCCACCCCAACTCGTTCCCTTCTCTAATCGATAAGAGATCTCCCAATTCGTCCTCCTTCGGGACCTAGCGTCCCGCTAACACTCGTTCCCTTCTCCAACCAATGTGGAACCCCCCAATTCACCCCTCTTTAGGACTCAGAGTCCTTGTTGACACACCGTTTCATGTCTTCAAGACCCAGTGTCCTTGCTGGTACACCGCCTCTATGTCTTCGAGATCCAACGTCCTTGCTGGCACACCGCTTCGTGTCTTCAGGGCCCAGCGTCCTTACTGGCACACCACCTCGTGTCCACCCCCTTCGAGGCTCAACCTCCTTACTGGCACATCTCCTGGTGTCTGGCTCTGATACCATTCGTAAGGGCCCAAGCTCACAGCTAGCAGATATTGTCCTCTTTGAGCTTTCCTTTTCGGACTTTCCCTCAAAGATTTTAAAACGTGTATGCTAGGGAGAGGTTTCCACACCCTTATAAAGAATGTTTCGTTCTTCTCCCCGACTGATTGACCGATGTGGGATCTCACACATTTCAAGTATTTTCAAACCAACCAGCTGAGCAGTAAAAATAAAAATAAAGGATCATAGTACCTTTGTCGAACTCCTCCCCCTAATTCAGCATCCATGTTGTTGACGTGAAGAGCAGAGATTTTGCGGCCAGATGAATAAACAGAGAGCAATGCATGAGCACTTGTAGAAGCAACATCCCATAGAGATAATGCTTCTGTTTCTGCTACAACTACTTTTCCTCTGTTTCTCCACTGCAAGGGACTAGAATAATCCATTGCTGCCACAGGCTTCTGCACTTCCCAGTTCATAATTTCGTCACTGTCACGGACATCAAAAACCTTTACAATCTTTTGACAGGTAGCAGTTGAAACAATCAGAGGTCCGCACGGCTTGTACCACCACTGTTCCGTTTCAGGCACCAGCATATAACTTGGAGCATAACGCTTTTGCACAATGTTATGGGGTAAGGGGGCGAGTGCCGTCCTTGAAGAGGGCATTGCACCCTCAATCTGGAAAGCTCGTAAGTTCTTGCTGTAAAAATCCCATGAGCAAAAACCTGCATCCATCGTATTCCCAGCTGATGCTGCCACCACATATCTTCCAGCGCAACCATCTGCTCCAGGGGCACGTATTATCCAACAGTCTCTCCAAATATTGGGTGAGATTCCTTCTGGTGGCTTGTATACACATTTCTCCTAACAGATGAACACAATAGGTAAACAATAAATCTCAGCAAACATCTAGCAATTTGTACAACAGGAGGCATTCTCATAAAACCATTTCAAATCAGTCAACCATTGTTCCATGGGATTAGCCTAAGTTGTATGAAAGATGTATTAAAATTATTGAGAAGTAGTTTACAATTGACTAATAAAGAGAAAAATCATGGGTTTATAAGTAAGGAATACTATCTCCATTCGTTTGAGACCTTTTGGGGAAACCAAAAGTAAAGCTATGAGAACTTACGCTCAAAGTAGATAATATCATATCATTGTAGAGCGTCGTGATTCTTAATAAGTACAATCATGACCAATGAGTGTCCATACAGTTAAAAACGAGCTAGCCTTTACCAGAGACTAATTTAAAATACCTCTGTATTAGTAACATCGTAAAACGAGCATGAACCATCGTTATGAGCAAGAAGGACAGCCTCTCCCTCCGACATAAACCATCCACCTGTTGAGGTTCTAATTCCTATTTCATTCATCGGGTAGATGCTAGTATCATCTGTCTCCTCGCCAATCAGACCTCCCTGTTTATTCTCTTGATCATCAAAATTATCAAGAATCTCATCGTTTGTGAGAACGAACTCAGCCTCTTGCTTACCCATGAATTGGGTTGATGATTCTTGCAATCCTGCAGAAGTATTTCCTTCCATTTCTTGAACTTGTTCGCTCCTCATGGTGACTTTTGTTTGCTCCAAAAACTCCAGAGCAACTGGGTTCTCTTCAATTGTATGGATTTCATTGCTCTTAGAGCTATCTGATGCTGATTTCATTGACATCCCATTCCCGAGCAATCTACGATGAGGAAATAGTCTCTCCTCCAATTCCTTGGTGCTAATATCTGCCTCATTGGCCTCATCCTTCAGACCCATTTTGATATCTTTCTCGTTTGTACCAGAACTGACTGCACCATGCCCGATCGCTTTCTCAATCCCAGAAATCTTCTTCTGAATATCTGAAAGTATCAGCTTAGATGAACAAGTACCATTCAAATCCAACATTTCCTTTGTCTTCTTAATATCCGATGCTATCCTCTTTACCTTACCTTCCAAGAAAGCAAGTTTTTCATGGAGCTTGCTTGGATAATTGTTACCCGTACACTCTTTGACAATCTCCAAATCTTTCTGCTCAGACTCCAAACTAGAGTTAACACCACGACGATCTACAATGCTCGACTCGGCAACGATACAAAAATTTTCTTTTCGTGCTTCATTAACTGCGAAGCCGCTCTCGAAAATAATCGAACTTCTACCATTTTCATCGCTTCGTAATGTTTTGTCAATACCTTCCCCACTATGGCTTCCTAAAACCTTAATCTCCAGTGGTTTATCCTCAATTTTCTCATCATCAGCATGTTGCTTAGGCTCAGAAATCCGAAGCTTACTATCCATGCTCGCTCGAAGCTTTACATTTCCCTTCAACTCCCTATAAACCCTTAATTCAGTCGGCCCTCCTCCACCCACCATCACATTCAGATCCTGAACTCCTACTATCTGTTTATTACTCTCAGAACCTCTACCACGCGAACCTCTTCCACCGCCCACAGATCCTCTCACTCGATCAACCGAAACCCTCCGGTTCATACGAGAATCAACGGAAACCCTAATAAACTCAGAAGGACTAGAGCATCTACCTCTCGGAACCGAAGACGTGGACCTCCGAGCACGACTTTCAGCATCGGTAACAGCAATCGCCGCAGCCTTGTTCACTAGCGGCACGGCCCGGATCGATGGCTTTTGGGCCATCATAGGAACCTTAAACGTGGACCTCGGATTCTCTTTCCCCGCCGACGAAAATCTGCAGGATGAATCGGAAGTAGCCTTTCGATTGGAACAAGAAACCGGTGTCAGGGGTTTGGAGGACTTGATGGCGGCGTCTAAGGTAGCGGATCCGCCACTGCGATCTCGAAGCAGGCGAGCGGATGGAGCCGACATGGGTGGCGCGGAATTGCCGTGATGATGGGATGGAATGGAATGGGAATAGAAAATGGATTAAAATTGTGGATTTTGAGTGGAAAGTGATTCGAGTTTGGCTATGGATATGAATTTGGGAATGCAACAATGGCGAACCCAAACTGAGAGGGATTCCATTGTGCATTTGGGCGGGAAATTGATATCAAATTTTGAGTTTTTGAATTTAATTTTCTTGAATAAATATATTTTTATTCCCTAAATCAATGGTTAATAATTATCCATAAGAAAAAAGATATTGTACGTTGAGATCTCAATTAGTCAGTTCAACCTGGCCAATCATATTGTTGGATTTGAATCCTATCTGTCCCACCATTTCATACTTCCACTCCTCACCTCCATCTCCTCCTCCGATTTCCAGAACATCCACTGCAAACCATTCAATTGATGGTTCATAAGTTTCGCTCGCCATTCAATTAGTTGCCCATGGCTGCTCTAGCAAGCTCTGTTCTTCAGTTTCCACTTCAGATCCGTCCTTCCGATACCTTTTCTGGGTGTCTTTCTCCATCCAGGATACATCGGATTGCACCCAGTTTCAAGGTCAAGTGTTCCCGCCGGCTGCCTTTGCTTTCCGGCGACGGTGTACCCAGAAGAAATTTCTCTTTGAAATCTGCTTCAGACAATGTTTACTCCGACCCCTCGTCGGACTCTCCGTCTGTTGATGAATACATTGGCTCACAAGTTTGAAATCGTGGGTTAGTGTTGTTTCCATTTTGGGTTTACAAAAAACCAGAATAATTGATCTATTGTCTGTGAATGCAACTGGGAACTTGTCACAGCTTCCACCATTAGAGGTAACTCGGATTCCAGATGTGTTGAAGCCTCCATCTAACACAGGAAGTGATGACTTTGAAGTCACTTACGTTGATGATGAGTCGAAACATTACCATCCACAAATTGCTCGCCGCTCATTAGTTTCGTTATCTGACTCTTGGACACCAGCTTATACTCGGAGATCAACTGCTGTAGCCATAGATAGGAAGAGAAAAGCAAGAAGTCTCTGGTTTAAGGGAGAATTGAGAGAGAGAGAGAGAGAGAGAGAGTATATTATAGACGTAAAGAGAGTTGTATTACTTGAGAGATGAAATGTTTCATATGGTGCACAAAAGTGCAACAAATTTGACGAAGTAATAAGCTCTATCTAAGTGCTGTTATTGTGACTACAAAGCTTCTGTCAATAACAGTGGTTTATGATGATCATACTAAACCCCACTGCATTGAAAAGGGATGCTGAACAATGTAGAAATCCAAATTTCAGATTACATGTGGGACATTATTTTCAAGAAATGGCTGTTCGCTCATGTTACAGAACACCCTTCTGCTTGGTAGTAAAACAATAACCGATTACTGAAGCTAAAATCATTTCATCTCCAAGGTAACAAAATTTGGTCCTTATTGGGGCAAGGAACCATTTGAAATGCCGTTTAGTAGTTCCTTGTCTGGAATTCTGCTCATCCCTTCTCTTCGTCCACTGCTTCCAAAACTGGTAGAGTTATGTCTGTTAAAGAGTCGTTGTTTCTTGATTTTGATGATTCACCACCGTCCGATGACCCCTTAGATTTCCTCCGATGAGAATGTTTTGGGACAGGATTTTCTGTGCTTGTTTCATTTCCGGGAGCTGAACCACGACGACGTCGTGCATGTCGCGAACTACCTTCCTTGCACGAACTACCTTCCTGGGGTCCCGAGTCACCTGAGGGGCATGATGATCGCTGTCGCCTGGAGTTCTTCTCCGAGTTCCGCCGAGCAGAAGAAGAGTCTAAGGATGAGGAAGAGTCTGTTGAAGTTTGGCGTTTTGACCTTGGAGCTCGACCTTCCTTTTTCACATCTAGCTCTCCAGATTCTATATTCAAATATCACTCCCATTACCAACTTCAATTCTACATCCTCAGGAAGATTTCAAACATACAAAAAACCGCTACCATTCTAAACCAAATCTCAGCCACCCTCAAACTCTCCACAATGGTATGATATTGTCTTCTTTAAGCTCTTATGGCTTTGCTTTTAATTTTCCAAAAAACTCTATACCCAACAGAGATAATGTAACTCATGATCTTAATAATTCTCTACATAAATGGTGAGATTATAATGGTTTGCCATCTCAGTCACCCCAGAATATAGATTAGAAGAAGAAGATGAAGCATACCTCGGACAGAAGAAAGAGCAAGTTCCCCAGTAGAATTAGCCAAATCGCCTGAGTTTTGGGATTGTGGCGAAGATTTGAACTCGTTCATCTGTTAAATTTTGCATCACACATACAATTCAAATCGATGTTCAGAAAACTTGAAAACAAAAGATGAAATCAAATAGGGCTGAGATTATTCATACCCAGGTAGGTGTATTATTCTGATTAGCAGATGGACCATCCCATCCAATGTGAGCGACATGCTTAACATCAGTGGGAAGCCCAATCTGCATTTCCTGTTCTTTTTCATCTGCAAGAATTTCGCTCAAACCGATCATTCAATATATTTTACAACCCAGAGCAAATTGGGGGAAAACAAAAACGAAAACGAAAATGAAAAGAAGAAAAAGAAAACATACCGAAAATCTGTGAAATGTATTTAATTCCTTTCATGAGGCCCTTAACAGAGGTACCCATTTTTCTTTCGTCTTCCGATTAGCTATAAACTGAAACCCTTAACTACCCGATCTCGAGAGGAAAGGAAAAAAAAAATGAAAAAACTCCAACCTAAATAATGAATGGTCCTCCGCCTGCGATTCAAGCAAAATTCACAATTACAGCTTAATTCAAAGCGTGATTTGCAAATAAAAGTGAGATTAGAGAACAAGAGTGAAACCCGGTTGAGCGTAAGATTAAGGAAGGTAGACGTAAGAGAAAAGGGGGAGGAAATGGGCAGGTTTTGATCGACGGTGGCCGGAAAAGGAAAATGGTGGGGGAAACGGAAGCCGGAGACCAGTCAATCAAAACCTGGTTAGTTAGGAGAGGAATCGATTATGACGGAACTACGGAGAGGGAGGCGTAGAAATCCGAATGGAAAACGCAGATTGATGAGCTAATCTTAGCGCAGGTTTTCAATGCCTGTTTTGTGAAAGCGCGGGAACAGCGGTTGGGATGCAACGGTACGGCCATCCATCTCGCAATATTTTCTCTTTTTATTTTTAATCACACCTTTTTTTTATTACAAATAAATTTTAAAAAAAAAAAGTTTTATAATATTAGTTTCTCTCTAGATGGAGCTTTCTGAACCAGACGCTTCTTTTTAATTTTTAGTGTTTCAATTCACAATGCTATTTTAAATGACACTTTCTAAAAACAATATTTAATTATTTTAATTCTTTATTTTTTAAATGAGACTTAATCTTTTTAATGACTTTATACGGTATTGTTAATTTTAGATGAAAATGTTAATTTTAGATTGAAAAAGCTAGGTTAAGAATGAGAAATATAAATAGAAATAGAGAAAGAGAAATATAAATAGAAATAAAATTTTAAAAATAAGAAATATAAATAGAAATAGAGAATGAAAATATGAGAGAAATATAAATAAAAATAAAATTAGAAATGTATGTTCTGATTGATATTCATAATCTTAAATAAGATACTAAGTTAATAAGTAATGCGTACCCATGAAAAAAAATATAAAATAAATAAATAAAATCATAAATAAATAAAGAATATTAAAATATAATATTTAAGATATATTTCATAAATAATATATACTCTAATATTATAACTCAATAGGTAATTGGTAAAACAATAATAGTGTAGATTAGTCATAATGAACTTTCCAATATGTAAATGTCAAAGGGATTTAAAGAGAATTCTACAAGATTCGAACTCCCGTTGGGACATAATGTGGTGATGAGCTAGTTGTGATTCAACGCACAACAAAAGCACATACAAAAATAGAAACATAAGATTATCAAATCACAGACAGAACTTTAAGGCTTAAGGATTGTCTGAATTTGGATGTTAAAGGGATTTCAAATAAGCTATAACATATAGGTAACAATATAATCGAGACGGTCACTCGATTTTCAGCAACAATCAGCCTCTCTCACGAAGCCTTGAGCTCGTCCATGCCAACACTAGCCTGTAAAAGAGAGTATTTCATTGGTCAGGTTCAGGGATGTTTTAATCTACTGTTTTATAACTAACTGATGATATACATAATTCAAGATGAAAAAGTAAAAGATTGAATAGACTTGGAGATTCAATCTAAAACTAAATTTCAGATCGCCCAAGGCTCAGAAACTTCAGTTAATAAAAGCATAGCCATCTTGCAAAACTGAACTAGTTGCATCATCAAGTTTGAAAGTTTTAAGACAGCCCCTTCAGGAATTTGAGAAATCTTACCAGAAACTTGTGATTCTCTTCGAGGAGAGGTGAAAATTTTGAACAAAATTGCTCTATATCAGCTTCAACATTGCCATTGCCTGATATAACATCCATAAACTTCTTACGATCGGGGGCAAGCTTCATGGCAACCTACAATTTCAGTATCCGATTAAAATCCACATATAATTTCTCATAACACAATTCATGGATTGAGCTTAACGATATAAAATACATTCAGTTAATTCACACGTTACAAATGTGTTTGCCACGATTCTGTAGCTCGTATCTTTTGCAACATGGTTTTGTTTCTTGAAAGTTTCAAGTCATGAAATGTCAACTCATATACTACACCTTGCTTGTGAGGGATGAAAGAGTTTTAGATCCAAAGAAGCTGGACAATATATTCCAGAAATAAAAATGTAGAAATATGATTTGGCATTTTTTAAGCTTCAATCGAATTCCTAAAAGCACAAGTGGAAGGAAAATGAAGAAAGTGGGGAAAAACACAGCTGCAACTAACAAACTGGGCCAAAAATCTCCTCATGTACCAAAGAATATTAAAATTAAATTAGTGGGGGCATCAGAGGATTACAGTGAAACTTGAACTGGCCAGCCAACCATGCCACTTTTTCAAGGTCTTGCCATAGGCTTCTGTACAGGCACGGGACATTGTCCAATCCTGATGCTCCAGTAAGTTGCGGAACAGTTCTACCAAGAAATCCATGGCTCTGAAAAGAATCAAAATATGCAAGTAGAACCAAAGTGTGTGTTAATCAAATTGATCCAACTTGCAGGCTTATCCTAGATGTTTATATCTCTGGGTTTGGTTAAAAAGAAAGATTTACTACATAATTTTCTACAAAAAAGAAAAGAGCAATTTGGTTCAGTCATTCATTCTAGATGCAAGTAAAAACTCATTCCATGAATTAAGAAGTACGAAGAGCTACATTAAAAATGCTAACTCGCAGGTCACCTGCAATGCAACAACCAAGAAAAATGCAAGGATACACATCCAGATGGGGCAGGGGAAAACTGAAGTAGTTCATTTATAACAGAAAACTATTTTGCATAATTTTGATAATCCCTTAAAAGTGTCTCATGGATGATGACGGAGGCTTCATCACCAGTTAGTTTTTGGTTCTGTAACCTTTAATGACAAACATTATTAAAATTTTACATGTTTAAAAGCATCCTCGATAACATTCAACACGTGGATCTCTAGTTGTGCCAGAATCAAAAGGAAGCAACAAATTCACCAGACATTGTCTAACCTTGTCAACCAAAGAAGACCATTTGTACAACTGGATGATCCTTTTGCAGTCTTACTTTCAATCTCAGGTTTCACCAAGTCGTACAAGTAGTTGAATTCAGATGGGTTGGTAGAGTACTTGGACTCCAATCTCTACAGATACAAATAATAAGGTGAATAAAACATACCCGCTACAAAACTGAGTGCATTTCGACAAAAACACAAGCAATATATGATGTCAAAAACTTGAGAGCCGCGAAGGCATTCATTTGTCTACCTATCAGGAGTACAAAAAACACTCGCAGCTGTATATCACGAATGCACGTGAGATGGATGCAATTCTTTCTTTTTCAGGTACAATACATTTTCCTTTCACTACTTTTCCATATATGTTATTCGTTTACTCCTATCTTATTTGGCAAATAAACAAAAAATAATAAAAAATTAGCTAGTCCTGTGTTCAGTGATAGTGATTAGTAGCCTACAAAATAAAATAAGATACACATATAAAATTAAGTAAACAAATGCATATTATAAGCTTTGAAGTTTCCCCTCGTGTAAAACAACGTGGGCAGCTTACCGCTATGTTGCCTCCAATGTCACTTTTAACAAGTGCCATAGCAGCTCCAAACTTGTCTGCATTAGAAATAATTGAGATTAATTTTAAGAATGACAATTCGTAAAACTGATCAGTTAGTGGTAATCTGATTATGAGCTTGCAATTATTTATGCTATGTTTCAGCAGGAATTCAATTTCGGTATGAAAATATATGACATTAAAAGTTCCAGAAACCTTAGAAAGACAAATCTAGTTCTCTAGTCCACCAACAGAGAAATGCCAGTCAACTAACTTCAAGCAGACAAATCATAAAGTCCACATTATCTTCTTGATAAACTTTTCTCTTCACTCAAAATTAAATCATATGCAGGCAAACTCCAGGACACTAGAGAGAAGTTTCGAAATTCAAAAGGGATCGGGGGGGGGGGGCGCACCGATAACAGGCAAAATATGTTTGCACACTTCCAAGAAAGGCTTGGTCAAAATCTCCCCTGCTTCAGATTTGACGTGCTGAATTCCTTCCAGGGCAGGAGCGAACACAGTTCCCTCCATTTGTATTCTTTGCTGCATTCAAAACAGAGATCAATCACAATTATTGATCAGCATCAAGACAGTCAACTTAAATTAAGATGAAAGTTCTTATATGATTAAATCATACTACGATTTCATCTACCTTTTGCCTGAAACGAAAAGAAGCGGAGAAAACACAGGGGAAATGAGATCAAGAGACGATTCAACCAGATCACAGCGGAAAGCCGGAAACAAACCAGTACAATGAAGAAATCCGACAAATGAAGTAAGGAAATGCACACTTACGGTAAGAAAAGATCCTTTGTGCTGTGGTTTGTGCGGCTTTGAGATCTCCGATCGAAGCAATGAGAGTTGAATTGAAAGAATGAGGAAATGATAGAGGAGGAAGATATCGGAAAACGCGGGATTCGAGCAGTAAGATGTTCTGAGAATCTCTCTTCTAAATTTAGGGGTCCCGTTTCCACGACGCGAGACGAGAATCTCAACCCATTTTATTATGTGTTGGCATAAAAATATATCAAAATTAAAAAATAAAAATATAACAAAATTACATTTTTGACCTTCCAATTTAAATTTGATTGCGTTTTCATCCCATAATCTTTTAAACGTTAATTTGGCACTAAATTCTTAATTTTTTTTAATACGTTTCTTCGATGCCTCCCATTATATTATCCTTGTAGTAAATAATAATATTATTAATAAATAAATAATAATAATAATGCCTTCACGCGTTAGCCGACCAATTTTCCATTAATCACGTCCAATCAAATCGTCTACCGCTGCCAGCTGTATTCTTTTTGCTAAATTATTTAATATTTCATTATATCCACAAACTTTAAGTTTTTTTCGTTTATGCAAGCAATTTTTAAATACATTAAAAAAATTAATTCTCAGAGCATTTAAGATAATTAAAAAAAATGAATTTAAGATCATTTTATTTAATCAGATTAATTGTTAAAATTATACTTAAAATGCTATTTAATTACAAATGAGTTCTAAGTTTGTCTGTGTCACAAAATTAATATTTAAAAAATACCTTAAATTTTAAATTTTATGTTTAATAAATTTTTAATATTAAAATTAGTATATTATACTCTATGGTTAAGACATTTAATTCTTTTTTCAATGTCAAATATGTGGAACTAGCGAATGATAATAATTAATTTTATTTACATATTTATATTTGAATAATAAATTCATATTTAACTTAGATAATAAATTTCAATTTTTTTTTTTTTTTTTTTTTTTTAAGTTCAGCAAATATGAAAAGGAGAGAGGTATTCTAAAAATTAAATAAGGGATTGAGAATGATATTCCTAGGAATAAAATTTTTGGAATTCATGTAGTTTATGTCTGTGGTAGATAAATTATTCTTCTTTAATTGAGAATAAGAACAGAACCAAACCATTTAAAAATAAATAATTGAGAATTCATATAGTATATGTCTAAATTATTTGTCCCTCAAAATTGGTACTATTTGTGATGTAATAATATATCATCGTATTTATTTTTATAATTTATTATAAAAAAAAATTATTTTTTAGAATAACTATGAACAAGTGTAAAAATCTTTTTTTTCGAGATTACCTTTTATAAGGCATCATATTCCAAGTGTCAATCGATTGTAGTATCATACCGTTAATGTCCTACATTATACAACCTAGAAATGAATTATTTGATTCTAAATGATAGGTCGCCGTATACCTAAATTTCTAAATATATTGTAATAGATTAATTATATAAGAACGATTGTTTAGGAACTAAATTCGTAATTTAATAAAATTTGAAAAATTTAAACTTTTCGGAGGCTGTAAACTCTAGTCGAGTTATTAGAAATTAAAGAGGCTGGGATGGGGGTGGGTATTTGATGGAGTTCTTAACAAGTTTCTTAGTAGCAGCATCAGGCAGGTTGATTCCACAAATATCAGCCAATCTGATGAGATAAAGCAACACATCAGAAAGTTCTTCCCCAAGATGCTCTTTATCCGATTCCTCCCAATCTGGCAGCCCTTTCTCCACCTCCCCTCTCCATTGGAATATTTCCGATAGCTCTCCCACTTCTCCTACCTACAATCATACATACCATTCAACTTCAAGAGTTCGATTCTTGAATCAACGTAAGTATAGTTCAATAGTTAAGAAACGAGCAGAGAAAGAGAAAATGACCATAGCGAGGAGAAGGTTTCTGGGGCTGTGATACTTCTCCCAATTTCTGACTTTGGCGAACTCCTCGAGCTTGGACGAGAGGTCCTTTAGGCTAATGTCGACGACACCGACATCGGCTTGCTCGCTGCCTCCCATGGCTGTTGCTGCTGCTGGTGGTTCAGAACTTTGTGTTGCTTTTGTGTGTGTGGGCAATGGGAGAAGGAGCAGCCCCCTTGGCTTTATAGGAAACAATTAAGGTTTATTTGGCAACATGAGGAGGAAAAAGAAAGCCAAGTGGGAAAGCAAATAACATGAGATTCCTCCATATGCCTCACCCCCAATATTCCATTTTTAACCATAGTTTTTAATATCTTATTTACGGGTAATTAATAATAATTTTAGTTTGAATTAGAAAATTTAAAATAAATTCGGAATTTTAACCAAAATATTAAAACAATAATAAATAAAAAATTCCCTTGCTTTCNATATTTATATTTATATATATATTGCAAAAAAAAAAAAAAAAAAAAAAAAAAAAAAAAAAAAAAAAAAAAAAAAAAAAAAAAAAGTGCTGGAAAATAATGATGATTTTTAAAATAAAATAACAAAATGAGTAATGTTAAAAGCTTTATTTAAATTCCACCATTTTAATTTTCGCCTCATTTGCATTTAATTTATTTCCAATTCAGACTAAAAGCAATAAGCAACCTACTATATTAGGCTGTTTTTTCAGATAATTATGACATATTTCATAATACTTTTGAGCCAATTACCATATTTGAATTGATTTATTCGAGGATAGTGTAGAAAAATGTCCATTTAAAATCATTTTAAAATATAAATTCAATTTAATCTTTTAATTATAATTTGCATAAATTAAAAAATGTTTTGAAGTAATTTTAAATTCAATATAAATAATTTAAGCAATTTTAAAATTACTTTTGAACTTAAAATAATTTTTTTGTGCACTCAATAATTACTAAAATAAAAACTACAAATAATATATAATTAATATTCACATATAGTCTCTAATAGTAAATATGTAACACAAATAAATGATTTATAAAGATAATATATATTTTTAAAAATTGGTATGCTTTTATAGATATTTAATAGCATATCACAAATAGATCATTTTTTAATAATATCATCAATAGAGATAACATAATACTTTTAATCTACGTCATAAATATTTATTTTTTTTATAAAGTTTTAGTAATTCGGTGGCCGACTTTAAATTCTTTCCTCCTAAAAATACTTTTGTAAAAAGAAAAAAATTAAAAAATAAAACTATGATATCTTCTTTTAAATTTTAAATGGGAATCGAACATTTTCTCTAAATATTAATTTAATAGTAAAATATTAAGAGATTTGCATACCAAATATATTTTGACTCTCATTAATTAAAATAGAGAATATATTCTAATTGAGAATTATTGGTTGATTTGTGAATAATCCATACAATTTTATTGCTAATTAAAATTTAAAATATAATTTTTTATTTTTGGTGGAAAAGTTTTAATCTCGCTATATTTGGTAATGCTTGGACCTTGTAAATAAAAATATAGAATAAAGACTACTTTAAAAAAAAAATAAGCGAAGAAATAAAATATCAAAATTAGTGGGAATAATCAATTTTCTCTCAAAGGAATTATTATTATTTTTATTTAGATGGATATCTTAAATAAACTAAAATATAAATTAAGAAATTATTATATATTATCATATATAATATATAATAATTTCTTAATTTAACTTGGAAGGTACTAATTCACAAATTAATAATAATTAGGGACTAAAATCGTAATTTCAGAGAGTAATAATATGTAGAAGGAATGGATTATATGGACCCAGTTCAAAGAGGAAAGAACCCTAGGCTCGTCGCTCCTCTCTGAAAAACCCTACAACTCGAATATGGTGAGGATTTTCTTCCTCGGTTTTTCTTTTCCTAACGACGAATCTATATTGTGTGGTGTTATAATTTGTTCGTAGTTTCTGTCCTGCGAATTGTCCTTTAATTCTATGTTTTCTTTCTTATCGGTTCTGTAGCCGTTCAAGAGGTACGTCGAGATCGGGAGGGTCGCTCTTGTAAACTACGGCGAAGACTATGGAAAGCTCGTTGTCATTGTTGATGTCATTGACCAGAACAGAGTACGTTTTTCTTGCTATTACTTGTGATTTTTATCGATGAGCAGTAATTTATAGTTTGAAGTTGTATCCGTCGTCTTGGATGTTTGGAAGACACGAAAACAAGAAGATATATATTTAACAGGACACAATGTTTGGTTCTATTTCGAACGTATTCCTATAGCTATGGATTGATTTCTTCTGAATTTGATGTTTGTGTCATGATCTTAACATACATGTCTCATCAATTCCGCAATTTATTATCTATGAGAATCATTTTATGGCTTCCACCGCCCTCATTGTAAATTGGGAAGGTCTTTTGTAAATATTATGGAGTAAATTTCATGAATGAAATTGTCTCATGTATATGAATAAAACATTTTGTAGCTTCTTCAAGTTTGAAGTGTTAACTTATGAACAATCTATTGCATTTCTTATTTAACGTCCCGCTTATTGATTAGGTCATTAAGTAGTTGTCATTAAAGCGTTAATGGGGTTGAGGATGCATATTATCACTGATAGATGATTAAATTTGTAATAGTCCAAGCCCGCTAGCAGATATTGTCCTCTTTGGACTTTCTTTTTTGGGCTTCCTTTCAAGGTTTTTAAAACGCGTCTATTAGGGAGAGGTTTCCACACCCTTTTAAGGAATGCTTTGTCCCTCTCCAACCGATGTGTGATCTCACAATCTACCCCCTTGGGGTCCTAGTGTCCTCGTTGGCACTCCTCCTAGTGTTTGGCTCTTATACCATTGTAACAACCCAAGCTCACCGCTAGCAGATATTATCCTTTTTGGACTTTCTCTTTTGGGCTTCCTCTCAATGCTTTTAGAACGCGTCTACTAAGAAGAGGTTTTCATACCCTTATGAGGAATATTTTGTTCCTCTCTCCAACCGATGTGGGATCTCACAAACTCCAAGGCTTGAACTATTTTCTCTGACTGATTCCCCACCGACCCCTAATGGATGTTTGGCGGATACTTTAAGTGTATGGTTGTTTGAAGTTCCGATGACTCGAGTTGTTTTTATCTCCCGAATGAATGTGACTATATATTATCCAATTGTCCCTGTTGTGAAGAACAGAAAGGATTTTAATGGATTTTTCACATGTATCCATTTTTTGTTGTCATTTCCTGGTGATGAAGTTTTTGTTTCAATATTTGATTAGTTGCTTCCAACATTATCTTAGCTCCGCTATTAAAGCATCTCTACTTCCTCTTTAAGAGGTTTGTACTGCATCATTCTCAAAAAAAGCTTTGGTTAGTTGCTCATTCTATCATTTCATTAATGCTACTATATACAGGCTTTGGTGGATGCCCCTGATATGGTCAGGTCTCAAATGAACTTCAAGAGACTTTCTCTTACTGACATTAAAATTGACATTAAGAGAGTTCCTAGGAAGAAGGAACTCATTGAAGCTATGAAGGCTGCAGGTATGCTATTCATTTTTCAACTTATTTCGCTTTCAAATACCCAATTCCTTTCTACCTACCCCCGTCCCTCCTAGTTGTCATCTTTGTTTGCTGCAAGTTTAACCCGTTGCCTCGATCATGTTAGATGTTCAAAAAAAGTGGGAGGATAGCTCTTGGGGGAGAAAACTGCTTGTCAAGAAAAGGAGGGCAGCTCTTAATGATTTTGATAGGTTCAAGCTAATGTTGGCCAAGATAAAGGTCTGCACTTCCTGTTGTATACTTTTTAGCCCTTTCTTATGCTCTAGTACGTGTAGGAGTTTCAAATCCTCATGGATTCCCAATACAAGTTTGAATTTACTAACGATGGGCATTATCATTTTGCAGAGAGGTGGATTGGTCAGGCAAGAGCTTGCAAAACTGAAAAAGAGTGAAGCTTAGAGTAATCGCATTTCTTCTATAGCTTCAAATTTTGTTAGAGAACAATTTATGAGGTGTGGATTGTTATCCCTTTTGTTCCTCCCGCCCTTGGGAGTTGGGGGTGTATCTCAAGTACATGGAAGTTTTGGACATCAAGTTTTAGTGAGTTTTTATACAGAGTTGGGTTAATCCCAATGTGCCAACATTAGACGAATTTAATTAATATATATATATATATACAGTCAAATACTGTACTATATATATATATATATATTTTTTTTTTAATTAATTTATTTATTATTATAGGAATTCCGCTTACCACAAGCACCCCACCTCATACGACTAGGGGGTGTTCTTCTAGATTATCAATTGAAAAGGGAACTTGAAAAAATAGTCTTATATTATGAATTCAATTCATTTTTGTTAAATTACGATATGTATAAATATATAATGTAATTATGTGATCATACAATAACAATTATGCAAATTCTATAAAAGAATAAATAATAATAGTTTGTATTAAATCCAATCTTTAGTGGATAACTATGAGTAATTAATGATTTTTTAATATATATCAAATATAATTTGTTTGTATTATTTTTTTAAAAAAATTGGCTACAAAACACAAAATTGTGGTTGTTTTTTACTATTTTATAATCATATTTCTAAATTGGTTTATTTTTTGAAAGTATTCTTAAAATATAAAATAAGAGTAAACAGATTGAAGTAATATTTGTACTCTTAGTTAAAAAAAAAAAAAAAAAAAGATTATCAAAACTGGGAAGGACTAAATCGTAAATTTAAAGTTATAATGAAAGAATTATTTGGAACTACAGGGGAATAAAAAAAACCCCTAGTTTCGACATCGGCACTGTAAACCCTAGTTTCTTCTTTCGCCCTTCTCTGAAACCCCTTGCACGCCGAAGATGGTAAGCATTCCTATCCTTCGTTTCTCTCTTTCTAATGACGAATCTACAGTTTTTGGTGTCATAATTTTCTTCCCCTTCTTTCTCAATTTTGCGTTCTTTTAATGTTTCTGTAGCCTTTCAAGAGGTACGTTGAGATCGGAAGAGTCGCTCTTGTCAACTACGGTGAAGACTACGGAAAGCTTGTCGTCATTGTCGATGTTATTGACCAGAACAGAGTATGTTCTTTTTTTTGCTATTGCGTGTGATGTTCATCGATAATTGCTAGTTTCAGTTTGAAGTTGTACGTACCAATTTTCTTGGAGGAAAGTCCCGGAAAACTTAGCATTTCTGTTTCCCGACTCTTTACTTAGCATTTCTGTTTCCCGACTCTTTGTAGACAAGATTTGGTTAGTTGTTTGTTCTATCATTTTATTAATGCAACTGCATACAGGCTTTGGTGGATGCTCCTGATATGGTCAGGTCTCAAATGAACTTTAAGAGACTTTCTCTTACTGACATTAAAATTGACATTAAGAGGGTCCCTAGAAAGAAGGAACTCATTGAAGCTATGAAGGCTGCTGGTACGCTTCTTAATTTATTTTTCATGTACAAATACCCATTACACCCTGCCTTTCGTGTTTTTTGTTTGCTTTAACCTGTTGTTTTGATTGACCATATCAGATGTTCAGAAAAAATGGGAGGATAGCTCTTGGGGGAGAAAACTACTCGTGAAGAAAAGAAGGGCATCACTTAATGATTTCGATAGGTTCAAGCTTATGTTGGCTAAGATAAAGGTCAGTGATGATTTGATGTAATCTGTAGTTTGTACTTTCTCTTGTTTGATTTTGACCCTTTTCTTATGGCGTTGATGCATGAAAGAGTGCGAAAGAACTTTTGTTTTATTTATCATTTAACAGTAACTTTCTATTGTGCTGATCAGTCTTCTTTTCTTTCTTTGTTTCTTTGTTTTTTGTCTTTTGTTTTTTTTTTTTTTTTGGTGTGCAGAGAGCTGGATTAGTGAGGCAAGAGCTTGCGAAGCTGAGAAAGAGTGAATCTTAGAAAGTACATTCCTTTGGCTTCAAATTTTGTTGTGAGTTTAAGTTTATCAGGTTTGGATTGTTATCTCTTCTGTTTCTCTAGCCCTCAGGAGTTTGTGATTGTTTTGAGATGTATGGAATTTGTACTTCCAATAGTGAGATTTTACCTATCTTTACCACAAGATGCCTATATTACTCCAATTAAGCATGAATCTGAATCTGCTGAGTGCTGATGTTTCTCTGTTCAACTGTTAAATTGAATATCTGTGCCACTGAGTATGGTTTTGTTTTCTATTTGTTTTTTTGAATTTTTTTATGTCTGTCTTCCCTTGGATGCCGCTGCACTGTTGAAATATTTGATACCGTAGTTGTACTACAAAATGAACATTGCTTGTTATTCATACGTCTAAGTATGCTATCAAGCAGTCTTGGCTCGGCCTGCTTCATTTGCCTTAACTTTTACTTAAGTATCCTCTATAAAGGGTACCCTGTTTAGAAATATAGTTGCTAACAAAATCTTAATGTAGTATCAAATACTTCTATCTTCAATATTCAATCTTCAATCTTCAATCTTCACATTTATTAGAAGCTTTTCCAAATCCTGCTCCCTCCAGACTGGTAGGACTTAACGCCACGAGCTTTGTGCAAACTTCACTCAGTAAACTTGTTGGTTTCTTTTCCTCATCCTCAGGGTCAAGTAGAGATTCATCCTCTTCGATTAGGAGGCATTCCCAAAGTTGTTGTCCTTTGATTGTAAAGTTTTTTTCCGTATAGTTGTTGTCATTTCCCCTTCTTCCCCAAATATGGCTTTCAAAGGCATCATCAGCGGATGGGGAGTTTTCAAAATTGTTTCCCTCATGTAAATCACTCCATGCGGGGCTCAAAGTAGTAGAATATGAACCAAATGATGAAGTTCTTGTTGATGCAAACGAAAAGCTTGGTGAAAAGTTGGGTGACAGTATTGATGATGACGAAGAAGGTGATGAACTACTACCAAATCCTTGAATTTCTCTCGTTATTTTCAGAGCTCTCAAACGTGATTCTTTTAAAGTCTGGCCTCCTTTCAGTAGTTGTAGTATCGATTGTGACTTTTTGTGCATGATTTCACCCCAGTTGAACCTATCATATCATTAGAAAATCAAATATCCCTTGAGAATAGCTGTTACTCTGATACTATTTACAATACTGATTTGGTTAAATCATTTTTACCCCCTTTCATCTACATGCTTAAAAGTTCCAAGTGCTTCGATGATATATGAATCTCTCTTGAACTCGTCAGCTAACTCTTCTGGTCCGTGGGTTAACAAGAACTCAAGGAGTACCAGTGATTTGTAGGATTGTTTCCACTGCTTCCACTCAACACTACGAAGCCTGAAAATTGCAGTCACCACAAGTATGATAACACTTTTTTTTTTTTTTTTTTTTTTTTTTTTTTTGGG